GCTGAAGTGAAACTCCAAGGGCTGAAAGGTCACAGAAATCAACAGCATGTCTCTGATTCCTGTGCTCTTTCACTGAAAACTAATCACTCTAGATATTAGGGTGTCTTTTACTTTATCACTGAAAGGATCATGCTGCAGAAGAAATAAACTGCAAATCAAAATATTGACATTGTTCATGCAACTCACGGGAATACACTAGCACTTCTAGGACAAATGATGCTAATTTTGAGGCCTGTGTGTTCAAACTGGGGAGATCTGAGTGCGAAGGAGCGTCTTGTGTCTAAGTGTCCGTGGTGAGGTCCACAGCTCAAGCATACACCCATGAGCACAGATCATTTAACTCACCAACGGCATGCGGGAACTGAGTTGTTGTCTCCCTTTGTAGTACTGTAGCAATTATTCAGCCAAACCATCTTGACTGGTCCTGTTACAGAGAAGCACAAAGATGAAAACAGTCATCACTCAGTAAAATAAGAACTCCTCAGGAACTGCAAAGAAGTTGAAATTTTATATAAAAATTAATATAAATGTCAAACTATCTCTCTGAACCCAATAATTTCATTTTACTGTTTGTCAGCAAACCCAAGCCTTCCTAATGCTTTCTCTTCAGTCATCACAGTGAACACAGGTATAACTAATATGTTCATACAAGCAGAAAGCATTGTGCAGTGTATCAGGAAAGCATCCCATAGAAACAGATTAGCAGCTGTTCTAGAAAACTAAACAAGTTTCTAAATCAAATGCAGCTTTACTCTGATGCTGATGAATAAGTGTTCTCAGTGCCCTTGAGATGTTTTTCTCTAAACAAAGGTTCCCATTGTGACATTCCAACGTAGAGCAGTAACAACATGGTTTTACTTTCTGTTTGATAAAGTGGCATGCTTTAAGTCTTCCAACATTCATGATACCTTGCTGCCTATTAGCACATTGAACAAAGCTCTTTCTTGGCTTTACTTTATTAATTTCGGAATGAAATTGCAAGTAATCGAATGCTATTTTAGAAGATACTTTCAAACACTGAGTTTTAGGATCCAAATTTGAGATTTTATAAGGGTTAGTAGTATAGTTAAACATTATTTGTACAGTGCCACTATTGTGGAGTCAGGTAGGATGCGGGCTGGATAAGATCTAAGTGAAAATTATGTTAGGACTGCAAGATTTAGTTCATTACTTGCTCTTTCCTTCCATTTGTTGACACATAAAGACCAAGAATCCAGCAATTTTATGTAACTAACATTAGCTGACATGCAGGAGAACGAAAGACTAACTGACGGTGAATATAGCTGGTCAACTCATGGAATAATCATATTCTTAGTAGCCCATTCAAAACTTCCTCAAAAAAGACTTCTACTGGATTGGCACATCTCAGTACAGTCCAGATCCATTAACTAAAACAACAATGGTTAGTCAACCTTATGGGACGTCAGTGTTGCCCTCTGATTTTGCCTGTATCATGTACTGGACTGAATGATAACTGCTGAATTCTCCATAAATGTTGTCTATTAGATGCTGTCAAACATTTCAATTTCTGTTATATACTCTTTTAGAGAAAGTGCTGAAAACATAGAAAGCTGATCATTTTAAATTTCAGCATGTCTTGTGGTCTCTAAAATCACTTGCCTTGTTAAATTAGTGGCCTACTGGTGGTGGCTAAATGACGCCTCCATTATATTATCTATCACCTCTTCAGACAGCTTCAAAAAATCACAAGACCCCATCCTTCTCCTGAAATTTGCTGTGTATATTTT